GTAGTATTATCAGCACAGCTTTCATGCAGAAGCTGCACGCAGCAGGAAAGCACCGCAGTGGGCTTCAAGTTAGTCCAGGGAAGCGCTTCTAGTGAAGGCGCCATGAAGGTTCGCTTCCGTATCCCTCAGCTCAAACGTGATACAGTGATAATTCACAAGTTCGAGGTGCTATCATCGCTACCAGACGACATGACCATCGGCCGCGATTTAATGAGCGCCCTCGGTCTAGTAATCGACTTCAAGAACGGACGAATCAATTGGGACGACAGTGAGCTCGTTGTCCGCACGACTGACACCGCCACGAAGGGTCCAAATGCTGTGGCGAACGATCATGTACTTGAGAATGATAATGAGTTTCTCGCTGGGGATGATACGAGCGTCTCACCTACAGATTTATTGCCGCAGCACCTGGAAGAAGCGCTGGAGCACTGTTACCTGAAACTACTCGAGGAATACATGGATCTGTATGGCGGTAGACTCGGCAGAATTCGCCTGGATGACTACATTCTCCCGCTGAGTACTGATTACATGCCATCGCACGCTAAACCTTACAGCATTCCACGCAGTCAAGAAGAAGCAGCTCGTCGCGAGATAAAGCGTCTCATCGAACTGGACGTCATCGAGCAAAATTACGGGTCCGAGGCGGCCGCACCCGCCTTCTTCCTGAGCAAACCCAGCGGAGCGTTGCGCCTACTGATCGACTTCCGCCAGTTGAATCGATTTTTACGCCGCTCACCATACTACGTGCCCAAGATACGTGAAATCTTACTCAAGTTGGGGAAAGCCAAGTGCATGTCCACTCTGGACGCTAACATGGGATACTTTGCGCGCAGGATTGCCTTGCAGAGCCGTCATGTTACCGCGTTTTGCCTCACATTTGGGAAGTTTCAATTTAAACGTTTGCCGATGGGAATCTCCACTGCGCCCGATGAATACCAGGCGTGCATGGAGAAAATCCTGGGAGACCTGGAGCTTGTCATCGTTTACCTTGACGACATCCTCATTTTTTCAGAAACTCCAGAAGAGCACCTGGAGCACTTGCGGATCGTGTTCGACCGCCTCCGACAGTACGATGTTACCTTGAATGGCAAAAAGTGCCACATTCTGAGGGGATCATGTGGATTACCTAGGTTTCACTCTTACACCGCAAGGCATCCAGCCGCAAGCCAAGAAGGTGGAGGCTATCCTACATATCGCCGAGCCTCGTAACAAACGCGAGTTGCGGCGCTTTTTGGGGATGATCGCGTTTACCGCGACATGGTCCCAAACAAGTCGGCAATGACAGCTCGAATCAACCGGTTGACGTCCAAGAATATTCCATTTACCTGGACTCCAGAAGATGCAGCGGCTTTCAACAACATCAAGACAGCACTAGCTCGCAGCGTACTGCTAGCATTTCCCGACTATAGCCGTCGCTTCCACGTATTCGCCGACGCCAGCGATTTTCAGATTGGTGGCATTATATGGCAAGGCAGGAGGATTCTCGCCTGCTTCTCCCGATCAATGATCGACACCCAGCGCAAATACTCCACGATGGAGTGGGAGTTGCTGTCAGTAGTGGAAATTCTCAAGGAGTATAGGACGATGCTACTCGGATTTCCTGTGGTAATTCACACCGATCACAACAATTTACTCTTCCCGCGCGAGACATCTTTGCGCGTGAAACGATGGAAACTACTCCTGGAGGAATATCGACTCCAAGTTGAGTACGTCCCCGGTGCACAAAACATCGGCGCTGATGCTTTTTCGCGCCTCCGTTATGACTTCGTGAAACAAGTGGCAGAAGATG